GTCTGAAAAAGCACAATTTAAATATATTTCTTTTTCACCTGGGCTCACCGGGTCAGGACCAACCAAATTTCTATGCAATGTTTGAACTCAGTCATAGATTACATTAAACAATCTGGATTAACTACCAAATGCCTATGACACCAATATATAGTGTTCACATAGATTTACCCATTACTCAGCTGATGTTGAGAGGCAACACATTCTCTTTTAAGTGTACCAAGTTTTTTTTTTTGTGCAAAGGCAAAGTGTGATTCATTACTGATCAATGGTTATATGCTTCCCGATTATTTCTGTGCAATCTCATGCGGTATGCAAGCTACTCCAATTAAATGTGTGATGATGACACGATGACTCTCTGCCATCCTGAAGTGTGAGTACTGTTATTTTTATCCTTTGTTTTCCATGTCTTCAAGTATCACTTCTCACATTTCTCCCTCATCACTTGTCTCTTGCTCAAATCACAAAAATTTCTCACTCCTGCAGCACATGCAGGAGATCATGTACATCTAATAATAAAGTGATGGAAGTGTGGGGATGTAGTGAGAGCAAGAAGGGAGAATACATAGGTTTAGGGGAAAGTAGGTCTGTCATTAATAATGAGCTGCTGTTGATAGTTGGTCTGTGATGGGTAGGTGATTATGTGGATGAGTTCTGTAATGTAGACTGCCTGTTCAGGTGAATTAGGTGATTGTCACGACTGAGAGGTGGTTATGCCTAGAGGTTCAATTCAAATAGGCTAAACACAAATGTGTAAGTGAAAAGAGAGATTAATAATGTAATGAGAAAAATAATGTGATATGGAGTATTCAATGCCTCAGTGTTGGTGGAGTATTGGGGTTCGTTGGCGCGCTTGACTCGCGCTGACAGACATGTTTACGGCTGTGTGCACAGCGAACGCGGACAAAAATCGTAAATACGCGCGTCGAATCAGCTGTCAGAAAGGTGGAGGCAAGGACGACGGTAAAGTTAGTTTGACGTTTGACATTCATTAGACATTCGGGTTTTTTGCCAATTAAACTCTTTGCAGCTTTTATGTTTTGAGCCCAAACTAACTCAGATAGACATAAATATATGCCCTTTATGTTGCACAAGGCTTAATTTCTAGGAATTAAAAAAAAAAAAATTAACCATTTAAATTAATTAAACAATTTAACTACGTGACATTATAATATAAAACCAATACTAAAATGTTCGGGAAAACATACCTGTTATCGCACAAAGCTCCGTTTTTGAATTACAATTTTATGTTTTTTATAATAATTTTACAACTTTTAATGTATGCAATAATATAAATCCATTAAACGACAACACCATTTGATCTAAAGGTATCAAACAAACTGTAAAATATTCAGAATATTATTCCCTATAATGCACAAGTCTTGGTTTTCCAGATTATGCCTTTACTGTTTTTATATACAGTACTGAATCCATATTTGTCATGTTTATTATTCTGTATCCACTTAAATTAATTAAACTCTGACACAGTTTGAGATAAAGGTATCAAAACAACTATAAAAATATCTAAATATTATTCAATTTAATGCACAAGGCTTGTTTTTTCAGATGATGCCTTTACTGTTTTTATATACAGTACTGAAACCATATTT